CATACGTAGTCCTAATGTTAGGCCACAGATACACCACCTCCTTGTCACATTATTATATTTCAGATTCAAGGTTGTTTCTGTGGGGGATGGTTGGTGCAGTAAGCAGGGAAGTGTTACCAAACACGTTTGTTGTTTTGTGGGTCAATTACATTAGGCTGAATTCCTGTTCTTCCATTCAGATCTCCAGTTAGAAGCGCGATGTGATTTACCCAGGGCCTCATCCACACCAATACCAACTTCCCCCAGTGTCTATTCTTATGTGTAGACATTGTCTTTAATTTTAAAGACAGCTGTGACATCATCACATCCTGTGACAGTGACTGAGCAGCTCGTTTAAAAGATTTCATGAAAAGGGTGGAGGCAAAATGTTCCAGCTGTTTCTCAAAGAAGACTAATATAGTGCATGTACAGTGAGACAAAACTGAATTAACATAAAAACTACTTATACATTTATAATACTGAATATAATTCATCATGTACTCTATGGAGGCATGTACTTTCTGTTATATTAGCATTGTACAAACTGTTACTGTTGCCTTCTCATTGGCTGTTTAGTGGAATAATTCATTTTTTTCCCAGTTCAATTCAACTGGTTTTAAAGGGAACTACGCTTACAACTGTAGCTCATCACAGACTGTACAGAAACAGCTGAGACCCTAAATATGGAAACAAAATGTGCAAAGACTTCTTGGTCTTTCTTTTGTTTGTATAAAAATCCCGATACAAAGAATAAACAAGAGGATCCTTATCACGCAGGTTTTCAGCTGACATTGATAACGATGTGAGGGGACAGCTGTGTGCGACTTCACAGCCTCAGAGTTGATTCAGTTTGAACAGGTACGTATCATTTAGACCACAGAATGAAATAAAACAACATTGTTTTATGATTTTTTTAATGACAACAAACTATTAACAATATTAAACATTTACTGTCTTAAAATCATACATAACTTACACCTGCTTCCTTGTCTCAAACCATCAGTTGTGTGATTAACACTCAGGCTGTTGCCATGGTTACATTTCACTGCTGCACTGGGTCGTTCACATTTTACAAAAGAACAAATGTAGAACTAAAAGATAAAAGTTAGTATGTAACAGCGAATCCAATCATCTGAATGTAACATTTTGTAGTAACCCATGTAACTATATTTAGTAACAAAAATATAACATTTCTGTTATTTCAGTGCTGAGAGGGTTAAGAACTCATAAAGGCCCTCATTTGTCCAAAAACACCCAAAATAACCAAAAAAACATAAATAAAATCACTTTAAACAGCACGTTACATACAAACCTCTTAGTGCCCATTTACAACTGTTACACAGCAAGTACATAAGCAACAACTTGTCTGTTATTATTGCTTATGTTCAAATATTATTTACAACAAGGACGCCTCAGGTCTAGAATCAGTGAGTCTGTAAAGGATTAAGCAGAGACACCTGGCTCTTTGTCATTTGTATATCATCCAAAACAGTTTTACATTTTTTACCTTAGATTTGAGATTAACAGACGGAATATTGCTCAAATTAAAATGCTTTTTATTACGAGTTATTTCCTTGAATTCTGTCCTCAGTAACTGTTGTGCAGTGCAAACAGATCACAGATTTGTATGATGCAGATGCAATTAAGAGATCGAGTTTGGGACACTTAATGATTCTCCCTGATATTTATTCTCCAAATCTCTAAAATCCAGCATAAGTGATGAAGAGCATTCCTCAAAATCTTATTTAGTAGCGTAATGCAGGAGAGCACTGTCTAACTCAAAGGTCCAAAACCCCCCACGGGTGTTAAAATGGCTTGAGATCATGTGACTGTGGGTGAAACGTCACATGACTCACACACAGTAAGCCCTTATGTCCACAGATGGAGTTACTGTGATCCTGGAAAAGACCACAACCATCAGGAAATGTTTCATCCCGGGTTAGATGTGATCCCTCTCCTCTTGTAAAAGTGTCAGATTCCAAGTTTTTCTTTTCACCCACCTGGATTTTCTGCTTGGACAAAT